AGCCTCTGCCAACTCCTCCAGATTGGTCACAGAGGAGTTCATCTTTTCACTTCCCTGGAAGAAATAAGCAAAAATGAGATTTTTTTTTTTTTTTTTTTTTTTTTTTTAAGAATTGACAATTTCTGGAAAGTGATGCAGTCACAAAATTCAGTAGCAAAGTGGTGGGTGGGCTTCAGGAACACGTGGCTTTATTGGCAACTATTTCACTTTGAGTTTCCTAGCTGTATCTAGAATTTCCACAGAGAAACCAGAACCCATTAAGTATGTGCCATAGTTGCCAGGAAAGACATGGTACCACTGGGTGGCACAAATACACCATTGATAAGCCAGGCACAAGCTGGAAGGGGTGTGCCTACCTCCTATTCAACATGTTTTATTTATGCAAAGCGAATGGGTACAGACAAAGATTGCACACACAGCTGTAGTCCAGTAACCCACACATCTCTTCTCAAATGAAAACAAGCTCAGATGTCAATGTGCTCCTTTGGACTTAGAGGCTCAATGAAAATCTCCCCTAAGAACAGTATCTGCTTTTGCAGACCTTGACTTACTCACAGCTGACTAACCACACAGCATCTCATTTCTGTGTTTGCATTCAGGAAAGTACGGCTGTCCCTGCTCAGCAGCATTATAACCGAGGAGGAGAAGCCACTGACATTTTCATTTTTCCCACTTTCTTACATTTCTTATTGTGCCATTCCAGTCAGTTTAAGCAAACAGTCCAATTCCTGCACCATCACCTTGAAATGGTAAAGGATACACCACTGACAGACTTGGCGGAGCGACTGCTTGGATGATACTGAGCTAGCAGCATGCACAGGTGGGACAGGCAACTAACGTGATAAATTCCAAAAGTCACCAGCTACCTGAGCCCTAATGTAGATAAATCTAATATTGAGAAAAAACAATGGCAATACAATTATTTTTATATTCATAATTTTTAAAAAGTCAATTATTTTAATATAGATAATAAGGGACAATTTAACTACAGCTGGTAAGGCAATTACCTCATCATGCTACTGTTAGGAAAATTTCCCAGTGTCAGAATTGTTGCCCCTCTGGACAGCCCCTCTGCAGACCATATAGTCCAACCTCTTGCTCAAAGCAGGGTCAGCTACAGCAGCAGGCTGTCCAGGACTGTGTCCCATTGGGCTTTGTGGACAGTGACTCCACAACCTCTCTGGGCAGTCTGTTCTACTGTTTGACCATCCTCATGGAAAAAAAGCATTCTTCTTACGTTTAAATTGAATTCTCTGCATTTGAATCTGTGTCCGTTGCCTTTTGTACCTTCCCTGGATACCACTGAGAAGAGACTGTCTCAGCCTTTTTATTCCCACCCATCAGGTATTCATGTACATGGAATGTTCCTTCCTGAGCCTTCTCTTCTCAAGGCTGAACCCCCTCCGTTGCTCAGCCCCTCTTCACACGACAAACGCTCCAATCCCTTAATGGCCTTCGGAGCCCTTTGCTGGACTTGCCAAGAACATCCATGTCCATGGTGTATGGGAAGCCTTACAGAAGGCATTGTGTTTGGGGAGGTAGTTGCCTTGGGCGAGCCGTGTCTGCTCCACTGGACGCGAGCAGCCTGTACGTGAGCACGGGGAGCTGCTGTGCAGGAAACCTACTGGAGTGCCCCGTGCTGGCCCGTGCTGCGCGCTGGGGGATGTTGTGACAGAGAGAACACTGCAGCCTGCCAGAAAATAGATGGGTTTTGGCCTTTGTGGCTAAAACAGCGCTGATAACGCACCAGTGTTTCAGCTGCTGCTGAACGGAGCTCGCACAGCATCAAGGCTTTCTCTCTTCCCTCATCTAGCTGACAAGATAATTATACTGGAGGATGAATGGTAAGAGTGCAGATCTGGGAATTAATACTGCTGCAGCTATTATGATCTTTACATTGCCCAAGAAGGGTCAGAGGATGCAATGAAACCAGAATGCCTGTGTACATAAAGCGACAGGACTAGGGTACCAAAGCTGCACGCAACTAGGTTCTTACAGCACTGGCAGAGAAAAAGAGGAAGTATAAAATTCTGTCATGAAGAATGGCTTAAAAAACCCAAAAAGTTTGGTCATATGGTTTCATTTAGGAGTAACAGCATTTGAATAGGTCAGCTTGCCACAGGTGCACCAATTTTTGTGTAAAATATTTTAAATTGAAAGAATGAAGCCCTAATCTTAACCTTTTTTAATTAGCATCACATAGGAATCTCAGTGTTTCTCAGATTTAGGGTGACAAAACAATAACATTAGGTTTTCCAACTGAACCCTAGAATTGCTTATTTAACTTTAGACTAGTTTTCTAAAATTTAGGGACATATTGTAAGAGGAAAAAAAAACAGTTCTAAGAATTTCTTAAAAACACATTATGGTAAGTTTAATTGAGCAATTTAGGTTTTAATAAATTGATAAAAACTGTCCTTTTATTCTCTCCAGATTCCTCTGCTTCTGACCATACACTTCATTTTGTAAAGAAAATGCCCCAATGATTATTGCTTCTCCTTTATTATTTTTCTAATGTTATTTTTCCCCCATCCCCAACTGCAGAGAACAACAGAAGACAGACAACTTGAGCAGCCAGACTTTTCTCACGATTTGATGTCTACCCCACTCTGCTTTCAACTCACCCTGGCTGAGGACTGGAACAGGTCATGAGGCTTCTGTGATCTTTTGGTCTTCCAGGAGGCCAGGACAGCACAGAAGCTTCTTGGAGCAAAGTCCAGGAGAGTCATGTTAACATCCCAACTCACATAAGGCTTGTTTCATACAGGACATATACGGTAGTCCACAGATTTCAATCTTCCACAAATTTTTGTACTTGTTTTGTACTTCATGAAACCAAATACATTTTAAAGCAAAGTTGTATAAATATTACTTATCTTTTATTCTAGTTGCTTACAAAAATTATGTAAAATAATAGTAAGAGAAGGTAAAATGACAGCTTTACTGTAGTCTGAATATTAGTAACGTTTTAGTTTTAGAAAGCTGCACAGGCTTTGGTCACTGAAAAGATACCAGTTTTATTATATCACCTGTGCTCAACAATCCGCTAATTCTTCAGAATAGATATTCATGGAAGAAGTACTATTAATTGAAGCGTTATGGAATGTCAAAATATACATTTTTTTTTGTAAGATGAAATACAATATTTTCAATAAAACTCAATACTTGCACTTTTAAAAAATTCAGATTCTATATACAGAATAAGTTATTTAAGACACCATTGAAGACAACAAAGGCAGAACACGAGTTCTTCTCTCATTCTTTCTCAACTGCTTCATCCTGAATCACTAATGTTAATTAGCATCAGTGGAAACTACTGACTTAGTTACAAACAGTATTAATACCTAAGTCACATTTAGAGACGATGATCTCCCCATTTCTGTAACCGGCAAATGAGACCTAAAAAGTAAGAAGTATGAGACGCACACACTTTAAATAAACAATTCCTTCCCATGGCTCAGAGGCCTAAAGTACAAGTATTTTCAGGTACTTCTGAATAAGAGTTCTAAGTTGTTTTTAATTAGTAAAATTTAATACATATAGACACATATTAAATAACAAAACTGACAAAATAATACATAAAAAATAAAGTATAACTATATAGCTTGCAGCAACAATTATTTATCTATGAATATATGAGAATATTTCCAGTTAACACAATATTCTTTATATTTTCTAACTGTAACAATCTTCGTGCAAAATAGACAAAATCTAGAAGCAAAAATTATTTTTTTTCCCCATGTCATTTAATAAATTGTTTACACCTCAGAGATGCTTGTAATGTTAGCTGGCAATCACAGTTTTTTATCCAACATCAGGCAAGCAGAACACTACCTGTTGGCCAGTGCAAGGATGTACAATACATCCTCCCACTCTTACCTAGTCCTCTGCACGATACCTATGAATACACATCATGTCAACCTGAACGGCGTGTACTTAGAAAATTGTCTGTTCTTGCATGGAAGAATGATTTGACATACAATTATCTGCATAGATGGACTTTAAGAGCATATAGTAAGATTGTGATTGCTAATCGCATCTTAATTCATAGCCTAAATTTGAAATGCTCCTCTGCTAAATATACCAGATATTTTAAAGACAAAGTTCTCACTGCATTTACCTAATATGTGGGTCACAAAATAAAGGCCTGTGACAGCTCTCCAAAAGCTTGAGCTTAACTGTGTGAAGGATTCCAAGTTTTGTTCTGATATTTTAAAACCAAAATTTGAAAAATATCTCCAGACGTGGTTGAAAAATTTGAATATAAAATACTTTAGAACTAATTTTATAATATTTGAAAGATTTCAATACCACTTTTCACTTTTTATTTAATATTGGGATAATATTTAAAATGCAATTTCACACAAAGATCAAAAAAAAGGAGATGAGCAGTTGTTAGATAACAAAAACATTAATAAAAAATAACTGATATATTTTTAAATTAAAAAAGGTACAGTAAACAAAATGTGTTCACAAAATAGATAATCAGTAATTTTAAATATCATGAAGAATGCCCTGTAAACTGAGAACACTTGTTAAAAGCCCAAACATAGGAAATCCTCATGGGTACAAAACACACACACACACTGGCACAGCGTTTTTAAGACAGTCGTGTATGTTTTGCTATGTTAGCTCACACTAAGATGTGAACAAATTTCTGTAACCATGAGAGAAGCAAAGAGAAATAAAACAGTAAAACGAAAACAGGAGATTGTCACATCAAGTACTCGTTTCCTTCTTATTATTGTTATGCTTGCAAAATAGTAACAAAATTTAGCCAGCCTTGACACAAAACCCATCAAACAGCCAGCAAAAAACAGTCACCCCAGCCAGTTGGGAAAGCAGAATTTTGCAAAGTTGATTATGTCACCAGTTCCCAGAAATTTCAAAGGTAATCACAGATTTGAAGAAAACAGAGGTAGAATACAAGTCAGCCTTCATCATTTAAAAAATAAAAAAGTCCTTGTAACAAGGTAATGCTTCAGTTGCTCAAGTACTGGTTATTCCTTGAAGCTCACATTTCTAGTGGAGAAAGAAAAAAATTCAGAATAAAGTTATTATATTTCAGTAATGAAAATTAGGATAAAAAGTAATAATTAGATCTAGTCTCCCCATTCTTTTCTGTTATTCCTGAACATCAACTACTAGCACATTATCTGAAACTCTACATTCAGTTCATTGACTCATTGCTCAAATTTTTAACAAAGTAAATGTGAGATGAGGAAGAAGAGAAAATTGCTTGAGAAGACTAAATCAGATTAGAGAAAAAGACAGTTGTAACACTATAGAACAGCAAATACAGAGTACATTTTACTGTGGTCAGATCCCAGGAAGGAATAAATAAGTAGGGTGAAAGATGATGAAAGTACTACTGAGATTATTCTAATGTAATAATCCATTGACAGCTTTAAAAGGCAAGATAGTAAAAAATTAAACTGCATATGAATTCAGTTGTTAAAAAAAAAAATCACTTTCTTTAAAAATACATACTTCATGAAAATGGGATATGTTCTGATAAGATATTGCAGAGCTGTCATTGTTAAAACTAGGTACGCAAATAGTCTGATATAAATAGTTCACTACATGGTATTCTTCACGTATAGCAACTGGACTATTTTTATTGCTCTTGAGACTCACTGTAAAGCAAGGAAGACTAAAGACAATTCTCTGCTGATGATACTCATTCTCAGAAATATATTATCCATCGTTACCTCAGTCAAAATGTTGATTTGCAATGTAACAGGGTTTGCCTAATGGCTCACCAGTGAGGCAAAAGTCATAACTGCTGTTTCATCCTCACTATCAATATCTCATTTGCCACAGTTTCCTTTTTTTGCTTTGTCCAAAAACTCAGAGAAAAAGAGAAAAATTGTTGACAATGTGGATCATGCCATGCTGACCTCAGTTTTCAGGAAACCTCTGTTTTTGTTAACAAAAGTAAGCTTAAGAACAAGCCATAGCTATTTACCAACAAAAATAAAGTTTTAAATCATGCCAGTTTGGAACTCTGTTTTTTGGAGTTTAGCACTTAGATTCATGAGCTGCTATAGCACATTTATTTCTTAAAACAATCACTGTTTATCTCTCCCCGTCCTTCCACTCTTCACTGCAGTTTTTTATGCAGCATAGGACAGACAGGATATAAAGTCAATAATCACGCCTGTAACACATAACTGACATCATCTGAAATGATCTCTAAGAGAATAAAAATGTCAGTGAAAATGAACAGATGACAGGTTGATTTTGATCTCTTTTTTATGGACTCTAGTGACCATGATCTTAGACATTCATAGCATTCAAGCACTAACAATTAAAAATGTATTAATTATTTTTATGCACTTGTTTTGGAGACAGTTTCATCTAATGTGTAGGGTTCAAATGCATTTTAGTTGGACCCTCTCCTACAGAGTGTCTTTCCTTCATTGCTGTACATGAGAGAATTTGATGGCATTTCTCTTAATATGAACCATTCACTGTTTGGAGAGAACTATTAACAATATTCAATTGGCAATATATATTTTGATATAATTAATGGCAATAATAAACAGGCGATATATATTTGGAAGCTGTCAGTTGGTGTAAGACCATTAACAAAAACAGGAATGGGAATCCATTACATTATACGGTCTTTGGAGAGCATTTTGTCTCTATTGTTTCCAATCAATATCTTATAGTAGGAGAGTCAACAAAAGAAGAACTTAGAACCATCTAAAGTGTGTGAGAATTTCATATAACTAAAAAAGTATTATTTGGAAACAATTTAAACCTAACTGTTAAACAGAAACAACCTGCTAGAATCAAATTGCTTACTTTTCAGCTGCTGCTTGATCAGTTGTCCTTGCAATGGTACATTCTGGAGAATGTGAGGGAGATCTTAATGTTGAACTGAGAGGAGGTGAAGCACGTAATGATGATGTAGAAAGACCATGTCGACGCATTTCCTGAATTGCACGTTCTCTACCAACAGATAGCAATTTCAGTTACATAAAACAGAGGTACTGCAGGATGTTAAAGGAAGAAAATGTATTTTTTTTTTTTCCATATTTTCACTTGATGGTTTTCATAATACTTTGCAAAGAGCCTTATATCCTTGTAATGTCACTCAATTTTCTTCTTGTTTCCATGAGAAGGGGTTGATTTTTTTTTCAGATGCAATGGTAAACTCACAAAATTTACAAGGGAATTCAGAAACTGTATAAGTTTTTTTTCTTTTTGAATTAAGAAGTTTCCAAGGTGAGAATATTAGATTTTGCATGAGAAAAGGAACACAATTTTCCATAAAAGTTCCTCACTATTCAAAATAACAAATTTAAAAGCAAGAAAGAAGACATGAGAGGAGTCACCTCTCTGAAAAAACAGCATCTTACCGTTCAAATCGTTCAGTTGTCAGTTGCCTTTTTAAAACATCACAGTCAGTCTGCAGCTGTGCAACTTTACTCCGAAGTATGGGAATTTCTCTATTATAGCTGCTTCTAAAAACAAATATGAGAAGCAACAAAGTTTTCTTTGAACACTGTCAGCTAGGAGCTTAGATGACTTAGAGCAAGACAAAACAAAACAGATACTGAACATGTTTCATACAGAACAAATCAAAGACAAATTAGAAGCAGTGAGAACCAAATGAAAGCAACAGAATGCTTCTGGAAGAACCTAAGGTGAGAAAGAAGTGAGAAGCTGGCAAGCCTCTCACTACATCCTTACTACAGACAAAGGTAAACACAAACATGTTTTATAAAAACAGACAAAACAATTAAATCATTAATTTATTGATTTACTATCCTCTGTTGCAATGCGAGATTGACTTAATGAATACACTTAAAAAAAAAGAAAAAAGCAGTAACTATCCCTCAAAAATACAAACATAACAGATATGGCTTCAGTAAAAAAAAATTATCAAATAGACTGGAACTATCTGGCTAGCAACGAACACAACTAAGTCAAATCTAGGTAAAAGCGGTATTAATGTAAGCTCAGATCAGCAAAACCCAGAGTCTGAAAGAGCTTGTCAGCTGTAACATTGGTGTTTGAGCCCAACTGTTTCAACTGCAAGAATCAAAATGAAAAGCAGCCTTGAAAATCTTAAGTAACATAATTAAATATACTTCTTAGCAAATCATCAGCTTGGACGACTCAATGCTTTGTTGCAAAACACCATTAATTGCATTATAAAGCAAGCAAAAAAATAAATGAATGTAAAAATAAGTTGTCTAAATCAGAATCTATACAGTTATGTTATTCCATAGAGTCTTCAAAGCCAACATGAGGTGGAGTGCTCAAAAGTCACTTCTGGAGAAGCAGTGATGTACTAGTTTATCGCTAAAGCACTGGACTTGAATTCTGAAAAATGAGTTCCACTCCTAGCTCAGTCACAGGCTTCCTGTCTGGCACCCGCTGGTCTCTGACTCCAGGAAGATGCAAACTACTCAAGAGATTTGATCCAAAAAGAACTGCAGAATATTTTTTCCTGTATTTCCTATTCATCAGTAAAATTCCTAGAATGGTATCTTGATCCTGTATGGTGAGAACAGACGCAGAAGACCAGAGGACGGCTTTCGATGAAATCTTATTCTAAGTCCTTCAGAGACAGGCATATGCTTTCAGATGGAGGCAAGAATTCAGGGCCCAATATCATTATTATAAAATAAAGAAAGAAAGCAAACAGTTTTGTGAGTTCTGAGGTTATTCCATGTCAATGACATTTAAACAAAATTAAGATCATGAAGCAAATCACTCAAAAATTAAGAAATATTTTCATTTGGAACCTCTATGCAAAGTAATCTTCATATAAGAAGAAAGCTTTCAACAAGTAGTTTAGCTATTCAATATTCTCTGTTTATTTAATACTTCATCACTGTAGAGCCTCAAGATCTCACTTACTGTACTATCACCCAAATAGCGCGCTGCGTAACAGTACTACTCACTCTTCATAGACCTCAAAATTACACAAGCTAAACTTAATTTTGAGAATCCCTCCAAAATCAGAGGTCCTATCAGTACCATTTTCTAAATAGAATGGAAAAACAGGCACAATAAGGCCAAAACCGTAAATAATGTTCAAAAAATACTGACATATGATTTTGTTAAAACTGAAATTTTGCCAAGTCAAATGAATTTTTATATTTCACAAGATACAAACATAACTGACACATACTTCAGTCTCAGCTGTGGGCCTTTAAAATTCCTGTTCTTCGACTGCAACTACTACAAATTGTAGAGTAGAAAATAAGGTATATGCAACTAGTTCTCACACCTGAACTTTTGCCTAGCAACATGCAGAATCTTTGAGACAAGCAGAGTAAAACAATTCAATAGAATAGTCACTATTCCTCCAAGAGAACATTTTCCTTCTTCCTGCAATATCACATCCTATTAAGAGTGCAAGTACTGACATTTGCAACAAATAAGAAAGGAGCCCTACAATGTGTGTGGAACAAAAATGGTGAAAAGATCACTATGAAGTTATTTAAACAGAGTTTTATAATGTTTGTACACAAAGAAGCTAAATTAAAGTTAAACGAAAACCTCACCTTTTTTTCATAGTCAGGACATTCCATTAGTTTCTGTTCTTTGTATGCAATTAACTTTTTTCCCTCAAGTAAACAAAACTCAGCATTTCTAAAACATGAAGCAATGACTTGCACAGGGGCGATTTACAGTGTCATCATCTACAGATCCATTGAGATCACTGCTACCTGAGGTAGACCATGGTCAGTGGTAAGTTACAGCCTTTACATAAATCAACCAAAAGTGGTTTCTTTGCACATTCGTGTCACCAAGTTACAGACAGTTTTTAACTGTTTAGCATTATCTGTACTTTTACCTTCTATACATTCCCTTTCGCTCTCTATGCCAAGTGTTTACTAACTGGGTGTATCTGTTTTTCTCTTCCTGAAATTCTACTTTGACTTTACTCTTCATTACCATCTACATTCAGCTGCTCCTCCTCCCTTTTTCATATTTAATGCAGTGATACTACTACAGTCACTGGCTAATGCATCCCCAGGAGAATGATCGTGCCAAGATGACACATATCATGGAAACTTCAAATTCTCTTCTCCACATCATGAAAAAAATATCTTATGTTCCCCACTTCTCTCGTACCTGAATTTCATATACACAAAATATCCCCCTCTTAGCTTCATTGTCCCAAAGAGATAAGATTTAGAGCATTAATAAGTTATTTCTACTCTAGGCAGACACAGACCATAAGAAGTTGCAGTTAGCTATAATGGAAAGCGCTGGCCACATTTACTGTAGGTGTCCGTTCAGTTCTGTTGATATTTCAAAGGAACAATAAATGATACAGGACTTTTTCCTGAACAGTTAATAGCAGCAAAAGTACTTCTGCTTTTTTAAAGCACTATGACTTCACTGTTTATTATGTAAGTGATTCTTACTTTAATCAAAGTAAGGACAACAGGCATCTTCAGTAGGTGAGCAATTCAAATTTACCATGAATAATATATAATAATATACTTGATATTTTTTTGTGAGCAGTACACATATGTCAAAATTTTACTTTCAATTTGCTCTGAGATGCTTGATGAATCTTCATTGTTCTAAAGGAGTTAGGACTTCAGAATACTCCAATATAAGAACATAGAACATAGTTCAAGACTAAAAAAAATTGCGTTGTCTTAATAATTAAATTCATAGTTCAACACTTCAAAGCCAAATAAAAATAGGACATTTTGCTTAAAAAGCAGAGTTGAATTAGATTGCTTCCTGAAGCTAAGGAGAAAATCAGAACCTGTGAGAGAGGTGGTTGTATATTTTGAGAATTGATACATTCTGATGCAAAGGTTAAATATCCAAATAATACTGCAGTGCATACATATATTTATAGATGTACTCAACAGCTAAAAAAAGTTACAAATTATCATGGGTTGGCTGGTTCCGTAGTGGAAATAATGTCTGCAACAGATCAGCTACCTTGCCATTAGGTAGTTATGTCCACTGAGGGGCTCAGAAGGAAAGGATTTTAGTGATTGCACTGAAAAGATGCCAGAGTTATATCAGACTTGATATCAGTTATATCATCTTGAAGTGAACTTCAAGAAAGGTATCACCACTGATATGAAAAAGAGTCAGGACCAGCAGAAAAAGTGAAGCAAACTTTCCAGAGTCAGACTGGGGACAAATCCAGGGGGAGACTAAGTACTTATTCTCAAGACTGAAAACTCAGCAGGATGTTCCTTCCTTTTAAAGTAGGTTTCCTTTGGAACTCCTGTTTAAGTTTACTGCTTGTACTAAACCGACATCCACCAGAGTGCCAATTGCCAATGAAAGCAATATGAAAGATCTGTAAAGAAACTTTAGGTAAACAATGCCATGAAAGACCAAAAGACATTGCTGCAAATATCTGCTCAGCCGTACGGAACACCAAGAATTTGACTTTGTGAATAAGTGCTGTCACATAGAAAAAGTTTCTTTGTACATCACATAACACATACACATACTTGTTAAAACTTACAGTTTGCTCTCAGCGAGTGTTAACTTATCTCTCAATAACTGAATTTCGGAATCTTTCTCATGGGATGTTAAATGGTTCTGAAATTCTTTGTCTCTACTAGTAGCCAGCAATGTTTCAAGATTCTGAACTGTAAGCCTCTCACTGGATAACTGCTTTTTCAGCAACTCTGCTTCTGATTTCATATCTTCTAATTCACCTAGAACCTAGGGCATAATATTTTTTACATTATTAATACACTGGTTTACAAACATTCCAAGTTCTTTTTAATGAGGAGTTGTTACAAAAACTGAAATTATTGGAAGTTTGATAATAATTAATAGGAAACCGAGCTCATAAAACAAATTAAAGCCAACCAGTAGTTACAACTATACTTAGTTAAAAACTATTCAAGCCATACATCTGTCAAATCATTTACTGGGAGCTGGATTACTGAATATTGGAAATGCTTGGGTGAGTACCCAGAACACAAAAGCAGGCTTTTGCACAAGTACAAAAATGGTATTTACTATACTTCGGTCTATTCAACTAGAACTGTTGGCTCACAGTTAGCTTCTTGGCTTTTGCTGAAAATGTAGGAATGCTTGTTTTCGTCATCAGTTCTACAAATATAAAAAAATCCCGTGGGAACCACTGTTCTCAAGGTCTTAAATATTACAGTAATTGACAGACATAACAATCAGCTGTAAAGAAAAAAGTTCTGAAACTACAGATATTTAGAACTGCTTAAACTATTTCAAAATATTTAATGAACTTCAGCTGAATCTAAATTTCAATTTAATTGAAAAAGTACATTAGGGAAAAGTCTTCAATATCTAAATAAGAAGTGCGTTATTTAGTTTTTATAAAAGTTGAAAACTTCAGTAAATTAAAAAGAGTAAATAAATATGTCTCTGTGGTAGAGCAAAAACTACAGCTGTCACATTTTGTAGTGATAATTAATGAAGCTCCCTCTATCTGTACAAAAACGACAAATATAGCTCTGTACACTGGAAAATTTATAATTTATATATAAATGCAAAACTAGTGATGTAAATTAACTTACCTACTCTCAGAAGTAATTTATACTTTTCTCCAAAAACCATGAAAAGCAAAGGAAGATATTTTATTGTAGCAAATGAAATGTGTCTTTGCTGCTTACCCTTTCATAATCCATGCTTTTGGATGTCAGCTGTCGAGATAAAAGTTCTTTGTTAGACTCAAGTTTCACACAGAGTTCCCTCACAGAAGCCAGGTCCGCCAACGCAGAAGACTTATCCTGATTTTCACGTTTAATATCCTCTTCCAATTTGGATACAGTTTTTGTAAGGGAGGAGATCTGAAATTCATATGCTTGATGTGCAACGATATGCTAAACAAAGACAAATATGGATACCCCTTCAGTGTTACATGTTAACAGTTCTGTTGGATAACAGGGTTTTCATACTTTCTTTTCCCTTCAAAATTAACTTTCCTTATAAAATTAACCTTATATAACATTCCTTTCCTCTCCCTAAATCACAGCTAAGAACAACTAATAAACCATCTCTGCAATTTTTAATCTCCATCTTGAAGAATTACACAAGTACTATACAAGAGTGGAATGAAGCTGGATTCCAGCTTCAGAAAAGACTTAAAAGCTTGAAACTCCAAAAATACAATCTATTTTTAACTCAGCTTACAATATTAAAGTCTCTAACTGTTTTTGTCACATTAAAAGCATGAGACAAAATGTGGTCAATCCACAGCTATTCAAATTTCCTTGATCTCCATGAATGTTATTGCTTCTAAAATATAAACTCCATTTTTTTCTATGGTATTGGTCTAGGTTTCAATATTATGGAATCCTGATTCTGGTTTTGGACTACTACTACCAGATTTTTCCTTTACTCCACCAACACTTCAAATACTTCATTCAAAGCTTCAAAGACATAAGAACTAAGCTTACAAAATACTCATAAAGCTATATGCAAATATTTTGAAGCAACTAAACAAAAGGTTCTTACAGAGACCATAACATAATAGCAATGATCATCCAACAGAAGAGACCTAAAAGTATTAAAAATATATGCTGTGATTCTAATTTTGAGAAAGGAGGAAAAGAAGGAAAGCACATCTAACCAAAATCTGTTACTGTTTCAAAAACTCAGTGTCCACATTTGAAACATTCATGTATAGGAATTATTTTCCATTAAAGCACTAAAAATAGTATATTGACTTTAGTAAAAATCACTGGAATGTATCCTACTTTCCTTGACAGAATTTCATTGCACAAATTATTACCCCTTGAATTTCTTTTTCCAGAAGTTCTGCTCTCTCCCGAAGACGTCTCCGATCTGTATCTACAGAAAGGAGTTCAAGTCGTATTGAGCTGCTTTCTCCTTCAGCTTGATGAGCCTTCATTTCCCAGTCTTCAGCTTGTGTATGGAGCATTCGGAACTTCTCTAACAATTCTTCATTTTCTTTTTCCTAGATGAAACAGTAAATCACTCTGCAATGATCAACATACCTTCAAGTTGCTTGATCGTATATATATTTCCCCCCCCAAAAGAAAGTAGATCTTTCTCCATTTTCTTTATCCCACTATCTGGCAATTACTAAGGGCCGTCATCCCTTTTGCAAGTCCAAATAGTAAATAAATACAGTGATGGCATTCAGTTTTATTAATTGAAGTATTCATATTTAGCACTTGTTAATGAGTTTCAAGGCTCCCAGGGGAGGTTTTATTTTGGATCTCTCTGCATTGTCAAGGGTCACATTGCTGAGATGTATTGATCCTAGTGCTGCCTTTCCTAAGAAATTCCAGCAGGAGTCAATTTCCAGCTCTTTTACTTACTGTTCTCTTATAAATATTTATATTACAGCAGTGCCTGAAAGACTGATAACCCATTCAGCAACATACACCTAAGCAGTCTGTCATAAAAGTACAAACCTGGAAGCTTTAGTGTTTACAAGTTATGCAGTGATAGAACAAATGTTGCTTGTGAATTTTAATTTGGTCCAATTGCAAGTGCATGTTACAAGGCAGTGATTAATTTTTCTTTTTTATTTAGCTCCATTCCCTTCTTCCCTGTTCATGTAATGCACAGCAGGATGAGTGTGTTGCTAACATGAATGAGATTTACCTAATGAGGAAGGTTACTGTTTTTGAAATCCCTTCTGTTTCCTGCAGCACTTGGAAGGTGCAGACAGAATGAGGTGGGGCATTAGGAAACAGAAACTCATTATTAAGCAAATGAACAAAGTAAATCCTCATCTCCACAGAAAACATAATGTAATACTAAACAAATCCCTGAAATCAACCTTTCATAATTGGTCACTGGCTGTATATGCTACAGCTTCTTGGTACTTGACTTGAATAACTGAATTCTTATTTGCTAAAGATGTGGCCACATCTGTAGCTGAAGTGCTTTGGACCTATGACATGTTGTAAAATTCTTAAAAACTAAACTTCAAGTAAGTGTTTTAAATTGAGAGTTATAGGTGAGCATACTATTGACCTTAATTTTTTCTCTATGCTTCAGTTTCTACTTGTAAAAAGTGGCTGAATTTACATGCATTAATCTAGACATGCAAGTTGAAGTCAGATCAAAATTCATTCTTTCCTATTCAAAGTCACGTAACTTTTACCAGTTCATGTTGTCTTGACATAAATTTTATTTGTTTTAAATGATTATAAGTTCTAATTCACACACATCACACTTTTGAATCCAAGTATAGGGATAAAATACATTTAACAAGAGCACTGCTTTGTCAGTACAGCAAAAACTCTGAACTCACCATTCATAGAGAAAAATTCTAATGTGCTATTTTTACACTTTCCCACAGAACTACAAATAAAATTTATCTTTTTAAAAAGTGTAAAACATTAAAAACCATCATACAAACTACTTGTTGCCTTCAATCATGAAATAGTACTAGACATTTTACTAGTTGCCTCGTCAAAACTCAAAAAGCAAAACAACATTAAAACATGATTTGTTTGTCATTCTCCAGTGTTATGGCCAACAGAAACATGATCAATGAAATTGCGATATGTCAGAATTTATCAGTGCTTCAGATCTAATAAGGTTTTGTAGAAATCCACTAGAGGCTTAAAACACTGCAGAGGAAAGAAGGAAAAAAAATAAGAGAAGGAAATGGGACAGGCAGGGAGAATGGGACCCAAACCATAAATTTCTTAATTAGTTCATTGTATCCTAGTGAGAATGTTTTATACTCTAAAATCAATGGATTTATTGAAAACACTAATGACTGCCTACAGATTATACTTTTACCTTTGAAGCTATCAGGGTCTCAAATCTGGAAACTTCAGTTATATAATTATGAACCCTGTTTTTCATTTCTTCTTTTTCACGTATTGCATCTTCAAGCTCAGTACTGATAGCCTAAAGAGATTACATAAAAGCAAAACAGTGCATTAGAGTAAATTAATCACTATGTATATCACTATATATTATTCTATCAGACTAAATCAAATAATTGCATATGCCCTAGATTTTATTCTATTCTACTTATAAGTAATTTAGTCAAAGCCCTTTGGGATTTGTAGGGTTCAGAAATATCGCCTATTACCTTAAATACACTGAAGAGTTTTCCAGACAAGAGTAATCACAGAAAACAATGATTATCATACCAGTTCATAAAATCTGCAGCTTCCTTGATGACACACCCTACTGATCTTTGGAAAATTCAACATACAGATGTTTGGGAGCTAGGATTTTTCTAGCCTTAAGATTCACTATCCCTGAGTGAAAGAAAGTTTTGTATCACTAGAAAGTCAACTTTGTAACAAAATAACATTTATTTTAAAGTAGAATTGCAAGATAAAATAACTAAATGCATTATTAAGATCATATTTAGACATCAAAAATGCACCATGGAATTTGAGATTGTGGAACTGCTAACTCTAGCCTTCTCAGGTTCAGCTCTCAACTTCCTGAGTCCTCTAGCCAAGAGAGCCAGAAAGGCAGGCATCATGTTCTATCCCCGCTATCAAACATGGGGAAAATAGAGGATAATGCCTTATTCCTTTTCATTCTTCTTTTTGTGGTATATTGATATTCATTAATGACACCCTTTTTACTTTATGCCTTATTTAGCAGATGCTGAAATCAGTTGGCTTGTCTCCGTGGTAACCTTCCCAAGCACACTCGGAAAACTTTAGTCATCACATCATGATAATATTTAATATTTAATCTTATTAGATACCTGCAAATGGCATCTCTAATTTCAATAATAGACGCACATATCTATGTATTGTACCATAGTTTTGCAAGAACTATTCAAGGTACCACATCACTTAAAACATCTTGCTATACTGTACTTCCTAGCTTCAGAATCAGTTGGGTTGACTGAGGGGAATTGAAACAAATGGTTTAGCTAACAAGGTCCTGATTATTTTTAGTGTTGGCATTTACAGTGAATTCAAACAAACATTGGTATCTCAGCATCAAAACTGTACAAGGCATTTGAGTCTCATGATGAGCTGCAACAGTTGTATTTGCTATACAAATTGAATGTAATGAGTTGCAACAAAATTCTGGGCTAGCTCTTTAAATCACATTCATATATTCTCTAAGTAGTCTTTATAATGTTTAGCCTAATAAAAAATGTTACTTAACCTGTACAACACTGGATATTTTTGTTATATATTGTCTATATGCACATTCTATTGTACATGGACACCCATGTCATAGACTTGGAGCTGGGAGGCTTTTGGTCAGCAGTAACCAACTAGTGCACAAAACCAAATCATTATATGTGTGGGATCAACAAGACTGAATGCACTTCAGGCTCTCCCAGTCATGGATCCAGACCCAGAGAATTCCAAGGAAGAAGAGATGGAGCAATAATGATTGGGAAGAGTGCAAATGGGAAGATACTATATAAGCCCCTTAGGGTCTTGAAACCAGCCTTACACAGCAGTGGCTGGTTTAACTTGCCGACCCTGGGAGAACATCTCAAGATGATGATGCCACAAGAATAATAATGATCATAATCAAACAGTTTAACTCACTGAATCTCTCAACTATTTCTGTCTTGCAAAATTGTTATTTAACCTACACCATCAACTTGAGATAACTCATCTTTCAATAAACTATTCAATGATATCCTATGGAAATACCTCAAGGCACTAAAGACTTTATTTCAACTTTGATTCTGTAACCGACGTAGGTTTAAGTCATGTCTTTATAGCAACCACTTTAGAAGGAAATTTATTAGCTGAGAGGGACTGTATAGCTCCCAACTGGAAAGCTGACCATAAATACACATGAAACAACTCAGACTCCACTGCACAATCACAGTGCAGTTCCCTTCTGCTTTTTTGGCCAAAAGCTACTGACTGGCTAGCTGTTAGCAAGGAGGTACATTGTGACTCTAAACTAGGAGAGAGCTAATGAAAGCTGCATTCATATTGAACTAATACAATTAAAAATATATAACACAAAACTCTGCAAGCAGTAAAATAAAGTACCTGAACAGAATCTCCACAAAAAAAAAAACCCACGCACAAGAAAAGCTGCAATATACAGCTAAACTCTAAGATATCACCTCACTGTGACACTACCTTACCAGTGCAAAGACAATCTAATAACATATCTCCAGGGAAATGGATGGCATTTTTGAATTCACCATCTAAAAACCCCACACAACCGTGACACAATGGAAAATTCCCTATTCCCTTTGACTGTGCCTCTTTATCCATTCCTGAAATCAGGAAATAGTTCTTTCAGACTATTCAGGACTATCACACCTTAAAAATAAGGTTTTTTTCAACCTTTCTGTCTTGTAGCTTTCAAGCCCTCTTATATTTTCCCCTGCAACATTAACCTTTCCCAGTTCATCAGTGAAAGCAAAGTTCCTGCAGAGCAACAGACATGAATGGAAAATAACAGTGCTATAACTGGAAATTAAAAACCTGTCAATATCTCCTTACAGTCACCATTGCCAAGGCTCACAGAACACAAATATTAAAATCTACATTCCAAAACATTCTATTCTCAAAACATGCCATACCTCAACTCAATACTTCCAACACTTCATGGAAACTAGATGATGAAACTAAGGAATCACTATGCACCAGAATAAATTCAGATGTGCTAGCAATCTCCTCCCTCTCCCTCTCACCTGACTAATAACCTGGTATCTGCTTTTGTGGTTTCTCGCTCTCTCTCAATCATCCCTGTTCCACAGATAAAACCCAATTAAATACCAAGTAACAAGTGATATAACCACTTAACATTATTTCATTACAGTATAAACAATTATGTCCTAGATTTGTTTTATTTAGATTTCTTTTTTAGTCTGGGGAAGGGTGACTAAACTGAAAGCTTATCTATTTCTCTCCCACTGTGTTGACTACACTTAAGTATCTAAAGTAATTGCTTTTACAACTTCTGCCCACTCATTTTTAATATCCTAGTGTTCAAGAAATACCAAATCAAAATTGAGGATATAGTGGTTTTGATGTACTAGTATATGTAAGCAATAACTAGTTTAATACTTCAGTATTACGTACTGCCTTCGTACCTGGTTTTCTCTGGCCATTGTAGCTAGGTCATCTTGCAGTCGTCTGTTTTCTTTCAGAGCCATTTCCTTTACTCTTCCTGTTTCTGCAAGCTCTGTGTGGGACGTATCAAGCTGGCGATGTAAGCTAGATATCTCACGGTCTCTGGTGCTCAGCATGTCCTTCATCTGGCTATCAAGTGAAAATCGTATTTAAGTTGCCCCTTCTTATACTATACCACATACTGCTGAAAATGAGCAGACGTGGATTTTTGGATATGTAGAAGTTTGGTTTGTTTTTTTTTTTTTTTTAAAAAAAGGTAAAATTCGTGCTCTCCGCCAAAGGCTGACAAATTGAGTCTAAATCTAAACATAAGCTAAGGTTGTAAAATGTCAATATGCACAAATAAAATGGAATTAATCCTCAACTTTGAAGCTGTATGTGGTAAGATGTATCTTATTACGCAAACAGCAATTACAGATACTTATGTTTATCTGTCTGGTAGTGGTTACAATATGTTAGTCACTGCATAATTTATAAACCATAAAGGAAAAAGACAGATAGCTTACACTTGAAAGTCAACAATCAAAGAGTAAGGAAGAGATTAAATAAAAAAGTAGAAATATAAATACATGTGAATTTAAGTAAACTTTTGCATTAGTTTTTTGCCACAGAGATTTCATGCATCAATGTACCAAAAATTCACTTAGATTGGTCTTCAGATATTTAAATATTGGTGTTTAACTATTTTCTTTTAAAAAGCTATCGTTTTAAAAAGTCATGCTTAAAAAGAGGTAAGAAGGAAAGATCAGATGAAGCCCAGCTAAAAACTACCTAAATGTGGTGTTTAACTATTTTCTTTTAAAAAGCTATAGTTTTAAAAAGTCATGCTTAAAAAGCGGTAAGAAGGAAAGATCAGATGAAGCTCAGCTAAAAACTACCTAAATATATTTTAATTAAGACTGTACTGGCAGCTTAGGCTTGGAAGAATTAGCTTGCCAATAATTAAGAGTTCAGCTCTGAGTTTTACCTGAGTCAACCTAATAATATCTAGTGGACTACTTAAAATACTAAAATTCTTAACTAAGAATTGAGAAATGTTACCAATTAGGAAAATAAACACAAACAATGGTTAACAGCTGTCTTAACAGCATCTTATCAGTCTGCAATATAATTGAAGGGGAAGTCTCTTCAAAAGTTATAGTATCATAGTATAGTTTGGGTTGGAAAGGACCTTTAAAGGTCATCTGCTCAACTCCTCTGCAGTGAGCAGGGACATTTTCAACTACATGAGCTCACTCAGAGCCCATTCAGCCTGACTTGGAATGTTTCCAGGGATGGGGCTTCTACCACCTCTCTGGGCAACATGTTCCAGTGTTTCAACACCCTCATTGTAAAAAATTTCTTCCTTATTTCTAGTCTAAATCCACCCTCTTTTAGTTTAAAACCATCACCCCTTGTCCTATCGCAACAGGTCTTGCTAAAAAGTTTATTCTCATATTTCTTAGAGGCCCCTTTAAGTATTGAAAGGCTGCAATACGGTGTCGCTGAAGCCTTCTCTTCTCCAGGCTGAACAACCCCAACTCTCTCAGCCTGTCCTCATAGCAGAGGTGTTCCAACTCTCTGACCATTTTTGTGGCCCTCCCTCTGGATTCACTCCAACAGGTCTTGCACTGAGGACACCTCAGCTGGATACAGTACTCCAGGTGGGGTCTCACCAGAAGAGGGGCAGAATCACCTCCCTTGTTGTGTACAAGGAGGTGATTTCTTTCCCAACACAGTACACTCCTCTACTTGACTTGAACAGAACTAACTCCATTTCACCACAATAACTAAAATAGCCATCTACTTTAACTTTAGAACCACTTGATAAAATAAAACCACTGAAGAAGGCATCCTAGTCTTTCCTTACTCTTTTGAGGACTCCAGCTCAGAGAGAGTTAGACGTAAATGAGTAATTGTTTTTTCCTACAAAAATAAAAGCAAAAGTTGTATTAGGTATTACTATATTGCAACATAACGGGATACTTCAAGTTAAAGAACTTTACATTTAAACATTTATTTTAACCCTTCAGCAATATATAACTGGATCTTTGCACATTCAAATTTCCAAGTGTCTTTACTGAGAAAGGATTGCCTTGTCATCAAAAAAGATGGAATTTAGCTACAGATTCTCTCATCTCAGGCTAGAATCTTATATGACGATAAATAACTCCAAGTGCAAAATGCAAAAAATACTTCTTTATTTTCTTGGAGTGTTTGGGGAATACACTAACAATCATAATTAAAATGCTATTGAGTATGCAAACATAGTGTTTATGTGACTGACGCCTAGAGTTCTGCACAGGCTTCGTCATCAAGGCAAAACGGCTCCCCAAAATGTAACTGCTTTAAAAATCCTCAGATGGACTGTAAAATCATACTTTTACTCCACAAACCTTGTTAGCTAAGTTGTCATCTAAGCATGCAATTCTTTCTGTTTTTTCATCCACGGTTTCTTGAAGACTGTCCTTTTCTTTGTCCAAAACAGTAATAGTACTTCTAAGCATATTGACTGTTTCATCCTGTGAAGTGCTCCTCTGGTTTAACCTGTCTATAAATAAAACAATAAGTACTTTCTATTTTAAAAACAGGAAATAAGCATAAAAATAACTAGTGATTACCTATTTTCTCCTCTAGCTTTACAATTTCTTCTTGAGCTGACTGCAGTTCGTCCTTTTTGAGGGACAATCGGTGCTGCAAATCTTCAACAGACCTCTGAAGTTGGTCGTTTAAGAGCCTGGAAAATCAGTATACAGTTGAAAGAAGTTGGGGTTCTATTCAGGGTCATCAACTTACGGCTCTTAAGCTGCTTGAAGTGCTGGAACAGTTCCAGAGTAACCTCATGACAGATGTGTAATACCGACTAGCAGCACAGGGTTGTGTCATACTAACCAGTCTTCTCCCTCCCACTCTGGGAGTGAGAGGACAATTAAGGATACCTGAGGCCAGTTGGTTGTTCTGGATGTCTGCAACAAGCCCACCTCAACACCATTCCAAAATGGAGTCATGGAACCTCAGTGGAACCACCATGATAATCTGAAATATTCACTTCCTCTGATTTCTGTTACTCTCCAGCATGTAACTCTTGTTACTTGTGCCTTTTGACTCTTGGCTTTATAATGATTTTGATACGTAGGTCATAGCAGTGATTATCAGCCACATCACACTTTAAGAAGCAACCAAAATGACAGCTACAGTTATGATCCTACTTTAAGAAATACAGAGCCTGAAAGACACATAAAACCATCTACCTCCATAGTTCTTTTGCTTAGCAAGAAATATCAGTGACCTTGGAAAAAAAATGCAAAATGAAACTCCAATAATTAAATGGATTATTTACAAAACAGGTCAGGAAATAAAAATCCCTCTGAAGTGGGATCCCACAAAAGCCAGAGAAACTTTTGATTTTTTTAAAAAACATAAATCTGGAATACAGCGTGTTTGCAGACAAACACAGCTATAACAAATTGTCACCGTGCACAAAGTAGAACCAAATGCTGAAATGACTGCAGCCCTACCTGTTACCTCCTCCTTTGTATAATATTAATGCTTTCTACTAAAATTATAAGGAATCTAACAAGATATTTAACTTTTATGAATGTTGTCACAATTTTACCAACAAATATACTAGTTGTTTTACAAACAACCTTCTTTGTGCAACTGGGAGACTTAGATGAACTCCAAGGCCTGCTTCTCAGCTTCAGTTCTTCATAGTTATCCGTCCTGCTATTGTACTGTTACAGAGTGCAGCATAGTACTGTTCAGGTGTGTGTGGGATGTGGGGTGTGAGCCACAGACCGTGGTTTCTCTTATAAAACACCCAAAAGATCTCATCTACTGCATAACCTATCCTGTGACCTCTTACATCAAAGGCTCTCATTTCCACCTAACCCAAATACCAGATTCCCAAATTTCTGCCCAGATTTATTCAATACTCTATTCCCACTTTCTCTAAGCTTTCTTCTTGTTCTATCACATTTAGATAGCTGATGGGAGCACTTTTCTAAAACACCAATCCTGCAAGTTTAAATAGGCTTTAAAAATACATGGGAATACTTGATCTTCCAGATCTGAGCAAGCTGGTCAAATCCCAACAGACTGTGTCTATGGACCATAAGATGTCAACTCTCAAAACTGTAGTATGTGTGTGATACTATCAGCATATGAAAGAGAGTGACACAAGAAAAACAGCTCAAGTAGAATTACAGAATGACTCTCCATGAACCACTTCATTGTGGAATATCAATGCCTAATGTTTGGCATAAAATCTTCAGTATTACTGACAACAGTAAAACTGGCATAATTTGGTCCTACTGCTGCAGTTTGCAAAGGCATCTGTCTTCCTTTTAACAGCATTTGGAAGTCCTTTTAGAATTTTCTGTTCTGCTACATTTATAAGCAATAAAATGGAATGTTATTGCTTATAAATTATCACAGGAAACAATTCTAGAAGGAGGAGAAAATTTTCATTCACAGTTAGCCATAAAAATTATCAGTATATCTGGTCATCAAGTAAGTTCAGGAGGAGCTTGCTATGAAAAGCCACCACAGCACTTTCTTTACTCATATTTACTTCTCCTTAAGACAAAAAGTGATTTTGAAAATATTTTATGGTCTTTCCCAGGAACTCAACTCTGCTGTACAGTCATGGAACAAACAAAATTATGTTAGCATCTGTGAAACACCACCACATTTTGTATTAGACTTACTGAAGTGAGCAAATCTCAGCTTTAAATTGAGAAGAATCATCAGATGTCTGGGCAAGTTTACTGGACTTCAATTTTAATTCATTTTCCAAAGAGTTTATTCTTTCTTTCAGGATAGAGACTGTAGTCTTCAGTTCACACCTTTCCATCTCAAACTGCAATTTAAAAAAAATAACCAAACCTGTTATTGTAGAAAGCTATCACAACTTGGCTTTTAAATAAATTTAAGTTGAAAACAGTTAACGAAATTAATTGCTTGAAAAGTCTACCCTATTTTAGAAGTAATAAAAGCTTACTTCCTAAAAATGCAACTTACTCCTTGAATATTATTCTCCAGTTCTGAAATATCATGCTGCATCTTTGACTTTTCAAGGTTAGCTGCTTCTTGTTGAATCTGAGATAGAAATATAGAATTACATGTAATAAGATACAGATTTTTAGATTTAACCATAGAAATTGAAGCTTAATGTTTAAGAAAACATCGCTGTACATTCTTAGATGAATGACCAAATGCAAAGTTCTCTCTATAAAACTACCCGGCATTAGCTGAAAATATACCACTGTAGTTTAATAGAACATCACTGAGTTTGGTTTTGGTTTTCGGTTGTGTTGGGTTTTGTTGTCGTCTTAAATAAAAAGTATATTTATATTTGGTCCTAACCAAATTAATATTTGTGAGTTGTTTAGAAAGATTACTGAGCTACAGGGCAATATGAAAGACTGCAAGCATATATAGCTCAGTGCCCTAAGCTGTTTGAAATTAATGTATTAAATTATCATTAATATGAAATGTAAGGCATAACAAAGCTAACTGGTCTTTCTCCAAGTCTTTGAAGAAATTTTATTTAAATGAGTTGTCTGTTCTCTGACTTCTGTGCATAATTGCAATGAAATTATTAAACAAACTCTCAAACTTCCTAGAAATGCCCAAGGTAAGTGTTTTTGTGCAGATATTTCAAAGTAGCACACATACAAAATGTTGGTAGCCACCTACAAGAAGAAAGGATGGAGCTGGAAGCACATCTCTTCCACTGCATGCACAGGCTTTAAGCAAAGAGGTCAGAGTTACTGCCACTGCATTTCTGATACACTACAGTTCTCTATTTTTGTGGTAGTAAATCAAACTAAGGAAACATTCATCGTACAGTCAATCTTGACATACGTTGTCTTTGGATCAGCCCAGTAATATGATTTTAAATTTCTGAACTTTCAGAACCTGTCTACACTATGTTAATGACCCAATAAAGAAGTCAGGAAAACCCCCCTGAAATCATACCCTCTTGACTACAACCAAATAAAACATTATTGCACATTAATACCAGACATCAAAAGGTCCAAGTAACAGGAAAATTATTGCATTAACAAATATTTCTTAAAGGTTAAAAATAACGAAACTTGGAATGATATGAATGTTTGTTATTTCAGTTATATGCCTTTTAAAATATACCCTGCTACAAAATGCAACAATAACCAAAGATTAGTTAATATCAAAAAGTCCATAAAGTCCCCACTTTGTGGGATAAGAACCATATGTGACACACAAGCATCTTCTAAGTAGTGCATACACACAAAAACACCCTGCGGCTGGGGCTTTCTATCTAGATTCTTCACACAAGGTGATGCCATGCTTGCCCTCAGACATTTAAAGCATGTTACTCTCCCTCTATCCCCACCTAGGAACTGAGTTTGCAAGGATAATTTAGACAATTCATTGAGCTCTCTCAAGTGAGTTTGAAATCAGATAAGTTCAAAAGTTATTGAAAAGGGGAACTGACAGACAGTCAGACACAAACACAGCATTATTGTATAAGCCTTCCCTACATGCCACCTCACTATAAGCAATGAAGCTATAAAAGCTCACCTTTAATTTTTCTCTGAGGCTTTCTTTTTCTGCCAGTAGTTTTCTAAAGTCAATCAGTGCAATGTCTCTTTCTTCTTCCACATGACTTTGAGAAACTAAATTATGTTTTGCTTCTCTTCTCATTCTGTTCAATTCACTCTGAGACTTTAAAAGATTATCGTTTGTTAGCATACGTGGATTGCAATTAATACAGTGTATACACAAACGAAAAAGAAAGTTTCAATGTTGTTAATGCCAGTGCTATTGTAGTCTTATTTTTCCCTAGATAGCTAAAATATATTCCCTAAATCACGCAGTGGCATGACAACTTATGCTGCCAACATACTCATCATCCTTTTACTGTTCCAAGTATAGCCTAACTTCACTCTGCTTTCTACTCTGTTAAGTACTACTTCTTCCTTGTTTTCTAGCCTGTATTCTTACCCAACTTTCTCATGCATTCTATTGCTATTTTTTCCCGATCTTCTCATTTCCAAATGCCAGTACAGTAAGCTATAATGGCTTTGAAGTTAATACACCAACTTTGGAATATATAACTTCATTAAGTAAGAAAAACAGTTATATCTTTTATTATTTTTGGTTGTGTTCTAGTAGGTCTACACTCCTCAAGATCTATTATAGAGCAATAAATAAGCAACAGCACAAGTGTTAATAAGTTATTTTAATGCCTATTATAAATTATCAAATCTTACCTGCTCATAAAGAACATTTAATCTATCTCTTTCTGCAGTCAATAATTTGACGTTGGATTGAATTTCTATCATGTGTTTTTCAAATCTGTCTAACATGGACCGTAGCTCATCTCTTTCTCTGGTGATCAATCTGAGATCTTCACTCTGCAAAGTGATTAATAAAATTTATGTTAAAATATACTAATTAAAATATAATTGGATAATTAACATAAAAAAGAAAGAACTCACACTATTAGTAATACATGAAAAACATTAAAAACACATATAAAATGAATTTTAATTGCAATAAAAAGCCTGGCATTGGTGGTGTAATTTAAACAATAAGAACTAACTGTTAAGAAGAAAAAGCAAAATGGCTAACAATAAGATTTTAACCTTTTTCTATTTATCATCTATTTCTATTTATTTCAAACCAATCAATAATTAATCAATACGCTACTGTAAAATGTGACTAGGAAAATAAAATGCAAGTTCATTGGAGTTTCTCTCAGTTAATTTTTTATGTTAAGAATGTAATTTAAAAATCTACTACAATCATTTACTGCTACTAATATGAAAGTAGATTTGATAGCTCCTTAAATGGTTCTTACAGGATTGTTATGATTTTTTAAGCTTGTCTTGACAGTAGGAACTTTACCTTCTCTGGAGTCCTACGGCTTGGGCTAGGCCTTCGTTTTATCATTTTCTGAAGATATTCTAATTCTCGCCTATAATAATCCCTGTCGTCTTCTAAAGTCTTGACAAATGCATCTAGACGAGATGGAGATTTGTCTCCCAGGGCTATACCATATTCTAATCTCATTCTTTCTATTTCGAGGACAAGTTCTCGTTCTGCAGAAAAAGAAATAAAGACATCTAATGAATTTCCACAAAGACATTTGCAGTTGGGATGGACTAACTCCCAGGAACCGTCTGGGCAGCAAATCTGCTGAAAAATGTTGGAATCCTGGTTGACAGTTGGCTAAACACGAGTCAGTAGCATGCTCTGGAACCGACAGAGGCCTAACCACCATATTGAGCTCCATCAACAGAGACACAGACTGAAGGATGTGATTACCCCTTTATTTAGCACCCATCAGGTCACATTTACAATACTCTATTCAGTTTTGTCCTCTCTAGTACAAGAAAGATGTTGATAAGCTTGAGTGAGTCCAGGGGAGGCCCTCCAAGCTGGTCAGGGAGCAGAACACTTGCCCTGTGAAGAAGGGCTGAGGGAACTGGGCTCGCTGAGCTTGGAGAAGAGCTGGGAAACCAAGAGCAGACTGACAATACCAAGAGGGGGCTACAGATAACATGGAACCAGTTTCTTCACAGGGGTGTGGAGCAGGTAAACAAGAAACAATGATGATTAAGTGCTACAGGCGAGTACAAGAAATACAGGGAAAAAAAAATTGATTACCTTTTATTTCTAAGTTCTCTGTTTTTTCTGTCAGCCTCTGTTTCTCTTGTTCAAGCTGGTTCAACAACAGTTCAAGATTCTCTTTATCATCTGCTTTTCCAAAGAGTTCTTCACTCAATCTCTCATTCTCTCTACGACACGAGCACAACTCCTGAAGTAACAAGTATTAACACAAAAATTAGAAGTGCCCTTTAGGGGCATTACTTTTGACAGTTTGAAATCAGTAACAAACCAAGCAAGATTAACCCTTGCTTAATTCAAGAAACCAACCAGAAGGATAGTGAGATACAAACATAGAAAAAAGTAGTAACTAAAGAAAAAGAAAAAAGAAAATTTTTAATGGCATTTAGTAACACTGTTGGTGTTAAAGTACATCACAATACAACATGTCAGTCAACCCAACCCTGCAATTAATCATATGCAATTTGGCCTATCTTTCCTATAATCTGGTGCCCTGAAAATTGAATATTTTTGTATTTTCAAGTCCACTAGAAATACTAAAACAAAACACTGTACTCAACTAATACACAATGTGCTATATGCTGGAAAAAGTTTGGTCTTCAAGGACTTGACAAGATTGATGTTTTTCATCTGGGCTACTAAGCTTTGTTTCTGAGTGAGCCAAGCATTGCATAATTAGTCACAAACTGATTAACAGACAAAGCAGTTTCTAAATGTAGAAAATCCTCCCAGATGTCATAACTCGTTTGTGGTAAAAATAATTGTGTCATGGAAATTACAACTTCAGATAGCAGAAATACAGAAATGTGCAATAAGGACATAGTCAACCATACTGTCTACAGAGATTTTTTCAGTTTATTTTTGCAACAGCATGTTGTAGCTTCTTTAGCCCTTTCATTTATTACTAATTCATTACAATAGAGTTTTGGGGTACTATAAAAGTTCTCTTGTTAACTGTTAATTTCTAGAATAAATTAAAGAATCATGTGGATGACAAACAAGAACTGAAGTTATTTTTACTTACTGATTTAAGTTTTGTTATTGTTTCTTCAAGATCCTGTATTTCACTGTGTTTTCTTTCAATTTCTTTCTGTCAACCAAAATTAACCTATATGTTAAAAGTTACATAATCAAAATGACAACAATTCCTTTGTTACAAAAAAAATAAGGAAATAAACTATTTCTGTAAGAAATGAAGTATAATTGGTTCCTTGTAATCTGCCAAAATTTAAGTACTAAAGCTGCTATGAACTGAAAGCCCCAAAAAATTTGTGGCGTACACACCCATGCTCTTTTGGAGCACAACATTTAAACAAATCATTGCATGACTCCCCACAGAAAAAAACCTTCCAAACACAGGCATCACTGTTGCAAATAGCTATTACCTATCATCAGTTTTAAGTACCTCAGATTTTTATTTCATACTAAGCTAACAGAAGAAGGAAGACAGATTGCCTCTTAACTAAATTCATCTCGCCTAATACAGTAGAGACAAAATTGCTGTGATAGTGAGAAAGTCTGTATAATACTAAGTAACTTGGAAAAAACATCTTTTTTAATCTTCCTTTACAAGTTGATAGGTTATTTGTTGCAATTTAAAGATACAAAGCCACCTAAGAGCCGAGCAGATCCTTCACACTGTAACACGTTAGTGATTACCTTTGCTTCTCCTATTTCCTTATCAGCAGTCTCAAGTACAATTTCCTTGTGTCTTTCCAACTGCTGTGCCAAGTGGTCTATTTCATTCAGTTCTTGACACAGTTCTTCATTTTTATTGCTTAAATGCACTACTTCACTAGTCACATTCTGTTTAGTGTCCAAGAGGTCTTGAATACGATTTTCAAGTTCTTTCTTTGTTTGCTGAAGATACTCAACCTGAAAGATATTATTCCTTAAAACATTAATATGTATTGTTACACTACTAAAAAAGGGACATCCTATTAAAAATGGCAAGATTTTCTATTTCTAGAACTTAATGCTTACCAACATGAAAAAAATGAGGTTTTACAAAGGTGCAAGGGAAAGGAATTCATTGCTACACTGTACTTTATCTAGTCTCCAAAACCCGAGGTTTATTCTAAAAACAAAGTACTGAAAAGCAGAGATCTCTACAGAAACCTGTCCTGGGCATCTATCCGGCAGACCCAACGTACTCAGAGTTTCCCTAAATTGCACAAGATACGAGGACACATTCGTCTCTCCACCTTTGTAGTGTATGCGCTAGGCTTAGTCTCACTGTTACTCCTTCATGAAAATGAAGCTTTACAGATCAGAGTCCCAAAACCTATCTTGCCCCCAACACATCTCAGCACCTTAAACACAACTTCCTCAGAAATCCTGCTCTACAGACACTGTTTTTCCTAGTATACCTTTCCTCCACAGTAAAGGGAGAGAGGGAAATCATTAACGAATCACGATGAAGTTTACAGCCAGTGGTTTTCCCTCTGACTTAAACCTGCTGGAAGAATGTAGAGTAGGAATTTTAAAATATACATAATAAGTTATACTACCCAGGAAAATGGGATCCTGGAGTATCTTGACAGATTCAAGATAACACAAGTGCTCCACTTCCATCTCCATACAACTTCCCTCAAAACTCCAGGAAGAAGTATTATTGTAGACACAGAAGAAAGTCTGAGCCCTCTCATAGTCATGACTACTACTACTACATAGAGATATCCATCCACTTATTGTCAGAGAATTAAAGTGGTATATTGGCACTGGTTATAGTCTTAACCATCTTTATGCAGCTCTGGGCTCACTTTCTGTACAACCAATTTGTGCTCAGCATGACTTACTAAGTCAGGATCACTGAACACAACTGTACCACTTGCAAGTCAGCTCATTCTGTATTTTTGCAGCACTGAACCTAAGCTAATAAACTCTGCAACGTGGCTCCTGTGCCACTGTACATCACACAAAATCAGTACACAAAACATCTAACTCAGTTGGAAAAACAGAGAATTGATGGTATAAATACAGAGATGGGCTTTACTTGACCTGTACTCCAGCCTGTCTGGTATTACTTTTTTAAAAATCCTCATTCTGAGACCAATATTGAATGCATGCTAATATGCACAGTAAACACAAACATCTTTAACCTAAGCTTATCCTTTCCTTGCAAGTCTACATGGCAGTAAAGGTGGGGACCATTTGAATTCAATGACGAATATTCCCCATTATCTGATGACATTATCTGCAGGACTACTCCTTATCATAAGTACATATACCATTGTTAGTTCCTAAAACATAAATGGTATGTATGAACCACCCCCTGCCCCCCAAAAAATAAAACAACAACAAAAAAAAACAAAACAAAAATTAAAAGACAATAAGTATTCTCAAACTTGGTGAAAAACATGTATCATACAGAAATTTTCTGAATACTCTCAGATTAACATTACTATGTACAGATGTGAGTTCATAGAAGTCTTTACCAGAACCATTCTAATAGACTTTTAAAACAAGAAATTTACTTAGACAAGAAACACTGCCACCTAAAAAGCAAAGCAAGTTAAATTGATGGATTTCATATTTAACAGTGATTTTTTTTTTTTTTTTTAAGAGCTAGAAGTTTTGTGGGTTTTTTTAGATTGGTAGTATTTTTTGTTGTGATTAAACAACAGTAATTAAATCCATTACCTGCAAATTCAAATGGGTGATAAGCTTCTCGTTACTTTTACTCCTCGATTCCAGAGAGATAACCTCATGAGAACGCCCACCATCCAATGCTAGCACTAGGCGCTCTATTTCTTTGTCTCTTAGCTCAACCTTCGAGGAAAAGCAACAAAAAAAAAAAGTTATCTGGAATCTTCTACACTGTTAACAGAATCTTTGTTCAAACAAACAGCTATATAGCATCAGTAAAAAGATATGCACCTAATAATGTAATTTTTTATCTGTAATACATCTTTTTAAATCTGGATTTTTCTGAAAAAAGTTATTTCTTTGAAAGAAAAAATAAATGAATCAAATAGAATGTGTGGGGGAAAAAAAAACCTGAAACAATTCCTACTCAGTTATTTTCTTGAAGAGAAACCAACAATTTTCATTTAAAGTGAAGTTAATTAATGTTGCAAATTAACTATCTGAGACTAGTATTTAAATTTAGGGGAAAAGCTTTTAAATCAGCTAATTCAATGACTACTTCAGTCTCTGAAAAACAGGGAATATTGGAAGAGGAAAGCCAATATGTGAACAAAAAAAAAGTGGTCTACTAATCCCCAAACACTGAATGATATAACAACATATGAAAAATAGATGTAATTCCCTCACTTAAAGATTATACATATCTTATCAATCCACTCTAACTAAAATATTGTAAAAATCTGTTGTTCATAGGTTAACTTTGAAAATTCAAAAAAACATAGCCAGTCCAGACAGTGAAAAATATTATCCTAAAATATCTGTAGATCAAATTACTGTTTTGGACCAGTTAATGCTTCTGCACTAGAAAACCCTAGATATACACAAATTCTACTTATGATCATCAAGTTTAGCCTATTTAATGTAATTTTAATACACAAAATATATCTGCAAAAGCAATGGGCAAGTATTTCATCATTGCTGCTGCCTCCAAAAGCAGAGGAGAGAAATAGCTCAACGTAGGCAAGTTAGAATTGTATTTCACAATACCTACAAGTTTTTCCCAATGAGGTCAAAACACAAATTATAATCAAGGCCACTGCAATAGCTACTACAAACAAATAAGAATTAGAGAAATAGCTCAACGTAGGCAAGTTAGAATAATTGTATTTCACAACACCTACAAGTTTTTCCCAATGAGGTTAAAACACAAATTATAACCAAGGCCACTGCAATAGCTACTACAGACAAATAAGAATTAAAAAAAAAAATCTGTAAACACACCTGTTTGCTATAATTTTTCATTTCATGTTCAGATATCTCCAGTTTTTCTTGTAGCTCTGTTACTTCTGACTGAAGCTCATGAATTCTGAAATGCAGCAATATATTGTTTGTGTGGATTCATGGAAGAATCACATATCCACAACAATTCAATATTACTGAAATGCAGCAATATATTGTTTGTGTGGATCACATATCCACAACAATTCAATATTTGTATTTTCTCTTTGCTCCTGAACATAAATATTTAACAAAAAAATAGATTTGTTCATACAAAACATTAATGCAGAAGCCATTGTTTGAGATACATTGACCTTGGCTACTTGCCAGACGCCCACTCTGCTCTCTCAATCCCTCTCCTCAACAGGATTGAGGGGAAAATAAGACGAAAAAGCTCATAGGTCAAGATAGAGACAGGATGAAAATTTACCAGTTACTGTCACGAGCAACACAGACTCAACTTGGGGAAGATTAACTTAATTTATCATCAGTTAAAAACAGAGTGGGATAGTGAGAAACAAAGACAAACTAAAAACACCTTCCTCCCACCCTCAGCTTTTTTCAAGCTCAGCTTCACTGCTTCATTTCTGACTCTTATACCTCCCTGCTACCCCAAGTGGTGCGGCAGGGATGGGGAATGGGAGCTGTGGTCAGTCCATAACACTGTGTAACACTTCAGCTGCGCTGCCCCTTCCTCCTCACACTGTTCCCCTGTTCCAGCATGGGGTCCCCTCCCCTGGGATACAGTCCTTCATAAACTGCTCCAGCATGGGTCATCTCCATGCAGCACAGTCCTTCAGGAACAGACTGCTCCAACACGAGTCCCTCAGGGGCCACAGCTCCTGCCAGAAAACCTGCTGTGGTGGGGGCTCCTCTCCAAGAGCTGCAGTTCCTGCCAGGAGCCTGCTCCACAGGCTGCAGCTTCCTTCAGGACATATCCACTTGCTTCAGCATGGGGTTGTCCATGGGCGGCAGTGTGGATATCTGCTCTGATGCGGTGCTCTCCACACGGTCAACCTGCATGATCACAGTTTTCTCCACAGGCTGCAGGGGAATCTCTGCTCCAGTGCCTGAAACACCTTCTCCCTCCTTCTCCTTCTTCACTGACCTTGTTGTCCATAGGGTTATTTCTCTCATATTTTTCTTACTCCTCCCTCTCACTGTTGCTGTGCAGCATTTTTTTTTTACCCTTTCCTAAATACATTTTCACAAGGGAGCCACTAGCTTGGCTGATGGGCTCAGCTGGGACCCATGGTGGGTTTGTTTTGAAGCCAGGTGGAACTGGCTGTGTCCAGCACAGGTAGCCGCTGGTCTCTTCTTAGAGAGGCCATCCTGCAGTCCTCCCACTAACAACACCTTGCCATGTAAACTCTCGACAGATATATTCTAAATAAGAAAAAAGAATTGACTTGAATCTTTCATAAAACAGTTTCTCAAGACAAAAATAGTATCATAAAAATCAAGAATACTTCAGTCTTCCAAAATAAATATGAAAAATCAGTTTACTCCTATGCAAAACATTGCAGCTAGCTTTTTTCCAGAATACCCAATCTAAAATTAGGTATAACAGTAAAACCACTACAGAAATGTTAAGAGAAATCCTTTAAGGAAATAAGCAGCTTATTAAATATATCCGTTGCAACTTTGTCACAGGCAGCACTGTCAATCACTAAGCAAAATCCTATTTAAGAACTATAGTGCTCTTAAAACATCATGAAATACCATATTGTTTGAGGCAAATTTGAAGTTAACACCTATACCTCTAAATTTAAAAGTTCTTTAGATTACCGATTGTCAGCCACCTGAAGAAGGTCTGCGATATAAGGGTCCTCTGGCTGAGGAACTGGATAGGCACTAACACCTGATGGAGGGACAGGCTGGTCTATCTGCATGCGCTGACGCCTGAAGGGAATGCTTCTTTTTCTGCCACCTAAAAGCCCAAACCCAAACGCCTATTACTTGGAGTGAAAGCAAGGGAATCTTCTTTAATACAAAAAGTCATCCCTATTTCTTCCAGAGCTTCTGAACTGGTATGTTTCACCATTTTAATCTTACTGCAGTAACTTGATAGAATTTGTACGTTCTAGACAACACCATTCTTGCAGGTTAGGATCAGCTTTGACAAAGTTCAGTTTTGTAATAGGGAAACACGCAAAGTTCAGTATCAGTAATTTTCCCCAGTGTTTAACACCCTAAATATTCTACAGCTCAAACTTGTTTAAACTGTTAGTAATTTATCTTAGGTAAATTAAAACATCACAAAAGACATTTTGTTTTCATATCTAAGAACTATTTTATGACTGAATTAATGACTGCACTGTTTAGTAATGGTTTTTTTCCTTCTATCTTACTGTCATTTCAGTGAATTTATATCCTAAGCATATAGAGCAGAGTAGGTTATTTGCTTGCATGAACAACACATGGACCCGCTAGAGTGGGTCTAGAGGGAAGGCCACAAAAATGACCAGAAGGATGGAACACTTGTGCTATGAGACGATCAGAGGGATGGAACACTTCTGCTATGAGGACAGGCTGAGAGAGTTGGGGTTGTTCAGCCTGGAGAAGAGAAGGCTTCAGCGACACCGTATTGCAGCCTTTCAATACTTAAAGGGAGCCTCTAAGAAATATGAGAATAAACTTTTTAGCAAGACCTGTTGCAATAGGACAAGGGGTGATGGTTTTAAACTAAAAGAGGGTGGATTTAGACTAGATAAAACAAAAAAAAATTTTACAATGAGAGTGGTGAAACACTGGAACATGTTGCCCGAAGAGGTGGTAGAAGCCCCATCCCTGGAAACATTCAAAGTCAGGCTGGATGGGCCCTGAGCAACCTGATCTCATTTGAAGATGTCCCTACTTATTGCAGGGAGGTTGGACTAGATGACCTTTAAAGGTCCCTTCCAACCCAAACCATTATATGACTCTACGGTAACATTTTATTAAAAACATGGCAAAACATAGTATTATTTCTAGAGAAATAATTAGTCTTCATCACACGATTAAATAAGAACATACAGTATTTGATGACATAGTATAGAAAAATCCCAGAAGACTGGTGATCAAGGGGCAAGTAGGCAGAAATGCAGACAAAAGTGTAACATGGAATCTTTGAAGTGAAGGATGAAAAATGCAGAAAGGTGTGGAAAAACAGAGAGGAATTTTTATTCCACTACCTACCTATTAATTTCCCTTAGATGCCAAATACATAGGTAATTCAATGACTTGGAAAGAAAAGACAATTTCAAAATTTCATAAAATACTTCTCACTATTTCCCTTTCCTTGAAAAAAAAAAAAAAAAAAAAAAAAAAAAGGAAAGGCTGTAGAAAGAAACTGACCTGAAAGTAACGTCCAGAACATTTTAAGTTATCAAAAGGCCCTTTAAATACTATAAACTTTCTGAGGGTTGGAATATTCATTGGTAAACTTATTTTGTATCTTGCTGCTTTTAGACCTCGACTACAAAAATCAGAATTAAGTCACTTACACATCATTAGAGTCAAAAAGATTCGAGTGTCAAACAATCTGCCTCTGACTAAATTAGGTGCAGCGTTAAAAGAAAAAAAATAAAATAGCTATTGATTAACAGTGGTTTCCAGTCAAATTTAACTTGTTTTCTATTGAATCTAAGTTTGTATTCAAATTTGTCCCAAACACAAGTGATGTGCTAATGAAACTTTTTCCATACAGAGAAAAAAACCTGAATTCGGAACCAAAACTTTCAAAAGGTAATGTTATTCTGTTGGATAGTAATTTTACTGTAGCAACTTCTCTTCCTAGAGGGAAAAATAAAACTATGTTCTGACGAGCCAAAAAAACCCCAGAGAAAAGTTAAAATATCTGTGATTATTTACACTCACCAGGTGTTTGCACCACTGCTTGCAGATTCTTCTCCTGAAGCTGCTGAATTTTTTCAGTCTTGGCTTTGTTCTCTTTTTCCAGCATTTTAATTTTATGTATGTATTGGTTATTCAGAAATTTCAAGTCAGTTGTTTCATGTTCAACCCTCCTTAAGGAGGCTTTCAGATCTTCAAGGGAGAGAAAAAGCAATATTATACTCCTTGTTATTTTCCCTTGTAGCACCAAAATAGGCATAAAGAGAATCCTATGCTTTTTCCATAACGTGAAACTTTCAAATACACATGCATATGTGTATATATACATACACAAAAATATGTATTTATACACGTTATACAAATAAAACTCCTTTGTAGAATAAAGACACATTTAACAGAAGTATTTAATTTTCAAGTAAAACATAGTATTTCAAGGTATGAAAATATACATTAAAAGTTCTAACGTTTTCATGTTTGATTAAAACAATAATTTACAGGATCTCAGAAGCTTTTTAACTAGAAAAGAAACATCTGTGCATGAGCTTTAATTAGAGGCAGTAAAGTCAATGACCACTCACACTCACTTCTAAGTACAGATAAACGAATCTGCAGATCAGGATTTGGCCGCAATTTTATTTGGGCACGGAAGGATTAAAAAAAGCACCATAATTTTTATAATACCTTTAACATGATGATCAGATTGCTCTTTCAGTTTTAATATTTCTAAATGTAGTTCATTATTTTCCTTGGTAAGTTGAGCATTCTCTGTTTTATAAGGTTCCAAAATAGCATCATAATTGCTGAATTCTTTTTCAGTTTTTCCAGCAGATAACTTTGCACTGCGCAAGCTCTCGGTTGTACGAACTAGGTCACTAGAACAAACAAGCATCAGCCATATCAGAAACGTTATCAGCCTTTACACTGCAGATGCAAACATTTATTATGGCCTCGGAAACAAAATCCTTTCCATGAGACCATGTGAACTGTACAACAAATGGGTTCAAAGAAAGGCAAAGAGAACATTTATGTAAGAAAAACTGAAAGATGGGAATCATTCACTGAAAAAAAGTAAATAAGGACAGAACAAACATAAAAATAAAGATATTTAGAAAGCATATCAGGAATTGACATATGACAATTCAATAAACTCTCTTTTCTACATAAAGTGAGATATGTGAAATTGGCAAGATGACTTCTTCTCCAAGTACTATGCAAATTGTAGCACTACTTACCACAGAAGACAGTTGGAGTAAAGAATTAAAAAGGCCAGAACGTTACCAGCATTTTTATGGAGGTCAGAAGCTCCATAAGAGAGATTAAGCCTATCTGTTAGACACCAGAGTGAGACTTAATGTTGAAGGCAGCTTAGCCCCACACCTTTGTACCTAAGGTTCTTCCATCTGACTAGACGCTAGAGAGCAACAGAAACAGAATCCCTACATTTGCATGCTTAGCCAAATATAACTGGATTACTATGGAAATTAATAAATATGTTAATTACATCAAAGCCATGAAATGGCAGCTATAGTAAGAAATTTTTTTTTCTTCTGTTGTATCCTGTAAAATCTGCAGAGATAGCAAATTTAAACTTCTCCAAATGAGATCATAAAAATGGAGCTGTGAGTATTTTAAGTCACAGTACAGACAACAGGGATTATTTTTTATACAACCAGTTATAAGAGTTGTATATATATATCCTTTAAGCACATACCAGCAGCGACTATTCTTGGCTCTCTTATGAGGTTAGAAAAGCTGAATTTTCCTAGACCACAGATCTGTAGAAAAAATTCTACTGAATTCAATGAAATCTTAAGATGTTCTCATCACTTAAGCAAAACCATTTGACTTCATCATAGAACTGAATGTTAGCTCTGAAACAACATTGCTTGAAAATAATCTTCAGACTAAGCATTCTCCCTTATATGTCAAGAATCAAACAATGCCTACTATATGATTACTAATTGTTTTTAATTAATCTCCTTTTGAATACCTAAAAAGCTTCTCCACCAAAGGTAAACTCTCCACTCCCAACGGTTGCCGGTAGCCCAATTGATCCAGACGTTTCCTGAGATTAATGAACCTTCGCTCTGCGGTTGCAGTCATTGTATACACACCTCCAAAGCAGCTTTTGTTACAGTCAAGAAAAATAGGACACCTGCAAAAGATTGTCTGTTACAGCATTTGTCCTTTAAAGAAGGAATAAGACAGAAAAAGTAATGGAAAAAAACAATGTTTTGTGTAGGAAATACAGTGCATAATCATGCCCTTAAAATTTAAGTAAACCAAAAGAGAATCATAAAGCAACTAAAAGGTTTTAAATGTATTTACATATTTATTTAAAAAGAAATATTTGTGTTGGCAATTAGTTTTCTCTTTCCTAGCATCTTGGAGTATGAACATACATTTTTCTCTCTGAGAAACTGAACTCTGAAAGGATCTTTCTGTGGGAAGACTAAGTAGATTCTGATTCTCGCAGTCATCACATCTTGCACAATGCAAATTGACAGATTATTCTCAAAAACTCCATATTTTTTCTTTCATATATAAATCATACTTTCAAATTTTACAAGGCAGTACTTAACGTAACTTATGCCAACCATTTGTAAAATTCCATAAAATGGGTAAAATTTTAAAGACAGATTAACTTTGAATATAATTTTTCTATGAGGGAAAACAGGAAAAAAAATTCCACTAATGTACTATAATCTTACCTGCATCATTTTCTGGAAAATACAGTCCAAGGATCAGAGTGATTTTTTTGTTTTGACTGATTAATTATTTACCTTCTTATTGCTAAACTGATCTAAAAGTGGCTGGATCAGCACTACTGTATCTGAATCCAGATGAGAATTTTGGTTTTGCTATGTACATTTGAGGGAGGAAGAATTTTTATATTGTTATGTCGTTCTGGATTTAGAGATAGAATAAGAAATTGAATATTAAAGCTGATGATCCTTTATATGTGAAAACACCTCTCCAATAGTTAGAAATATTTTTGAAAAATAGTTATTTCTGTAAAACATTTTCCCTTCACATTTCTTCAGAAGTTTCATTATTAATCTACCAGCTGCAAAGACCTCAGCAGCCAAACTACCAATCCGAGGAAGCATTGTTTTCACCTCATATAAAGGGGATAGAATACAGATACAATTTAAACCATCCTGTTTCACAATCCCCCAGATTTTACAAATATATTAAATAAATATACTCAGGTATTTGAAAATAAAATTATTTTTGAATATTAAAATGAAAAAACATGCAAGTTTCCCTCATGTCTGAGGCTGGAAAGTAAGATTTCATCTTACTGTATCAAAACACTACAAATAAGTCTAGCAATGGGACTGTGGTTGCCAGGTACTGCTCCGTGGATGAGAGATAATCACCAGGCTTATCAGCACAGCATTTGTTCCAGGTACTGCCAAAAGATTTGTTTGAAGGGGGTCAGGATGCTGAGATATTAACTAGGCAACAGCACGGAGAACAGTCCCTTACATATCGCACTGGGATGGTTAAAGGAGGACGAGGAAGCGCATGCGCTTCCTTCCACTAAATGGTAACTGTCAATGTACTAACGTGTACTAAGTGTTCTCCATTCTCCTTCGGCAGCCGAAGATTAAAGCTAAAAGTGATGAGACCCTGGTATTTCATAGAATCATAGGATGGTGTAGGTTGAAAGGAACATCTAGTTCCAACCCGCCTGCCATCAGCAGGGACACCTTCCACTAGACCAGGTTGCTCAAAGCCTCATCCAACCTGGCCTTGAACACTTCCAGGGAGGAGCAGCCACAGCTTCTCTGGGCAACCTGTTCCAGTGTCTGACCACCCTCACAGTGAAAAACTTCTTCCTAATGTCTAATCTAAACCTTCCCTCTTTCAGCTTAAAGCCATTACCCCTTGTTCTATCACTACCTGCCCTTGTAAAAAGTCCCTCCCCAGCTTTCTTTTAGGCCCCTTCAGGTATTGGAAGGCAGCTGTAAGATCTCCCCGAAGCCTTCTCTTTTCCAGGCTGAGAATTTCTGCATTAATGTTGAGGATTCTGTTTTGCATTCAGGAAAACAGTGATTGTGTTACTGTATGTAGATTTAGTCTCAGGTATACATCTTATATTACTACAAAAGTAAGCTGATAACTCCTGGGCCATCTTCTCCTTAAGAAGCAGCATATCAGTTAAAAACACTAAGTTAGTTTAAAATAATTCATCAGACTTGATTTAATACCCTGTGTTTTAGAAAGATAAAGGATTTTTCTACTAATCATATTGAGAAAGTTTTACAGAAGAAATATCAAGAACAAAACTGTATCACAGCTTGTAAGGGAATAAAGTTTTTCTACAGTAACTGTGGATAAAAATAAATGCACAGATGTTAGCGGTCCAGTAGCTGTGCCTAAGAAGTAGATACAGGATCTTGCTAAATCATTGCAATGGACAGTTGAGGTATAGTTACCTAAACATACTCTAATATTGACATGTGCCAACAGCATTCTGCTTGGATCACTCTCCTTCCTAAAGACTGGAATTTTTAATTCAAGACATGAATGCTACTGGAAATAAACAAGAAAGAGTATTATCTTATATTCCCTAGAGCCACACCTGATCCAAAGTTAGTCCAGGAAATTAGTAGCTGGAGTGTAGGTCCAAAAGATGACCGATATTGAACACTGACATGAAAGATGGGCAATAATGGAACTTCAAATCCAGTTCAGTTAGGCTGTAAGTATAGAGCCAATTGGCATTAATTAGATATTACACCAACCATTACAGGTGGAATATGATACAGAAAAGCTTTAGCTCCTTTCAGCCTAAAAAAAAATGCAGCAAAATTCACTGCAAGTATAGGTTAAGAACTGTTCCAGACACAACACTTGTGTTATCAATAAGAAAATGTAATAATATAAAAGCGGAGCAAAGATGTATCTTGGCCATGGAAGACATAACACAGTCTTCAAGTCCAGTGGAAGAAAGATAAAACTACATAGCTGACAATGGAACACAAAGAAATTAGCACGGACAAGTTTATATGCTATGAAATCAGTTTCTTTATTGAGTCTATAGCACTAACACCAAGGACAATTATGAAGTGGAGTCTCCAGGCTCAGTTCTGGGAAATACCAAAATGCACTTTTCATTCATCAAAACTGACATGCTAAAGGCTCTGGGTTTTTTGCATGTGTGACATGTATGTTTACAAACCATCTGTTCCTGTCCTGTAATTACTGGTCCCGTAGCTCATTTTGCTCAAAAGAGCTAGTTTTGTTTTTTTCCCAGATGAAAAAAGGCACCTAGTGGACCAACCATTCCTCTATAGTAATGCTCTAATACACGCCTCTATACAGTCGTGGACACTGAAGGCTGCGTTGTGAAATGTCGGTACTGCAACATCGTTTTCGAGATACACTGAAAGAGCCTGCACTTGTTTTAGCAAAGTCTGCTTCCAAGTTAATTTGCTGGGAGTTCACTTCTAACTAGATACTCGTACACCACTTTTGCTATCAAATGATGCCACTTTACCAAGAGAAAGAAAAAACTTGCTCTAGTAAAATAGATTTCTTCTTTAAGGAGTCACAAAAATCTCTTAATTCGCATTAAAGTTAAAAAAAAAAAAATAAAAAAAAAAATCTATCAGTCGTGAGCCTGCTCATAACCTGTCCTCGCAAACCAGAAGCTTCACAGACCTCTCAGCAACCCCAATCTATGCCTACAGAGGGGCAGTCGCTCTCTTCCCAAACAAGTTTACTTCTAATTTTTCCCCCCTCCCGCCGGGTCGCTCATACCAGACGTACCGTTAAAAGCAAATTCTCGCAGGGCGAGGGGGGGGAGCCACTAATGAGCAGCCGAGTCGTTTCTCTGAGGCTTCGGCAGAGACACAGCTCTGGCGGGGAGGAGGAGCTGCAGAACCCCAAGGGAACGGGAGACCAGCGTGTAGGCCTGACGCTGGGGGAAGCTGCCCGGGCTGACCTGCGCTCCCCAAGGGCAGAACAGCCGGCAGCGGCCCAG